TCCTTCCTTCCTTCCTTCCTTCCTTCCTTCCTTCCTTCCTTCTTTCCTTCCTTCCTTCCTTCCTTCCTTCCTTCCTTCCTTCCTTCCTTTTTTCTTTCTCTTGGAAGGCTCCATGCCCAACGTGGGGCCTGAACTCATGACCCTGAGATCAAGAGTCAGATGCCCTCCATTCCTTTAAGTTATAACTAGCCCAGGCAATAACAGCCAGCCATCTGATAATCAAGGACTGATGAGATTTCTATTGGCCAGATAACCAGAAAATTAAGGCTTCTGTTTTAAAAAGCTTCCCAGAAGGAAAAAAAAATACATATTTTAGCTACAGGCAGGTTCTATTGTTGTTGAGCCCCCAAGGAGGTCGGCCTGCTGGCTGTGGGCTTGGCTGACTCACGGTGAGAGGGTGGTCTTCGAGGCTGAGCTCAGTGGCACACAGCTGATGACACGCACGCAGAAAGCCAGCACTGGCTGTGGGGGCCAGGCACGAGCAATCAGGGCTAGCTCCCGATGCCCAGGCATCTGGGGTTAATTAGGGATCCGTGGTGCCGGAAGATTTAGAACAATTGCAACCAGCAGGGCAGGCTCTGGTACTATCAACAGTGGAACACAGTAGGTACAGTCCATCCCTAAATAAACATTTTACCCCTGGCAAGGCCTTTTTCTCAAGTGGGATCGCCACGGCTAAGGTTTAACCACCTGTCAGGGCAATGACCCATGACTTGATTGGTCACTCAGCCTTTGCCATAAACGTCAAATTCACAGGCATTGGGGGAGGAATCTGCCAACTTCTGACGAACAATGGAAGCCAATCTAATCTGATTTCACTCCCATCTTACATTTTGAAGTTGTAGGTTCTCGCGAGTCTTTGACAAGAATGTCAGGTCTTTATATATAGTCTCTCCCATTGTTGTGCCTGCCCGACACAAGGTTAACTTCATGGCAAAGTTGGATTTTTAGCCACAGGCATCGGGGACTTCAGAAGACCCAGCGCGGAGGGGAAGTGAGGAGACGGCTGAGGCTGACTGCAGGAGGCAGAGGGGTAGCTGAGGTCTCCTGGCTGGCAGGATACAGAGGCACAGAATCAGAGGCCAGGCGGGATGACCTGGAAAGATAACAGAGCCTTCCCAGGCCTAACTTTATCCCAAGCTGCTGTGCAGATCCTGAAGTTTGTTCCTGGCCCAGGATGGTTCTTTAGTGATCTTGCTGCCCAAGCCCTTCTTTGATGACACTGCCTTTTGTCTCCCGATTCCAGCCACGTGGACCAAAAGGGGGTTGTCATCCTTTTCCGTGTCTCTGCCTCCCTGACCTCAGTCCCTTGACGGGAGGACATTGGAGACAGTCCCTCCCTGAGGCTTATTGGAGCTGCAGATGGTGGGGGAGCATTGTTTCTTATTGGGAGGGGGAGAAGAGCCTGGAAGCTGCTGGAGGTCATGTCCCCCCACCTCCTGGAGAAGAAAGGGTCCACCACCTTTTGATGAGAAGGAAGCTAACATGCTGAGAGAAGCATGTGGCTAAAGTGGCTGGAAGTTTCCGTGAACTTGAGTCCCTGCTCCAGTAGTTCCTGAGGCTAGGGTACCTCCGCCATCATTTGGTTAGATGAATCAGTGTGCTCCTCCTTTTGCCCAAGTTCAAGTTGTGTTCCTTGCTGTGATACGTGCTAACGGTTTCTTAGCATTCTACACGTGTCGTTACTATTATTTCTGGTGCACAATTTCTGGCACGTTTTGGCAGCCAAGCCCCCATTCCGTTCAACAACTCCCAACATGCGGGGTTGGCGTGGGCAGCAATCACACTGTGCTAAGGCTTAGAAGCCAGAGAAGACTTTGCTTCTTACCATCAGAACCTGGCACTGAAAACACACTTTCAGCTCCTGTTTTATAATTGAGTCGATACTCGGTTACACTCAGTTATAAACAGTCAATACTCAGATATAAAATAGGAGCTAAAGAGTGTCATTTCAATCTGCACTTGGCGAGATATTTCATATATACCAGGCAAGGTCAAAGGCAACTCCCAGAGAGTTTAATCTGGGATGACATAACCTTCTGCGAATGTTAGGGTCTGTGGTCTTTATGGAGGTTGGTAACATTAGCTTCCGCCTCCAATGAGGCGTGAGCAAGGAGGATTTAGATCAGAAGCCAGATTTCGCTCTTCTTTCCAATCATCCTACAAATGTCAATTCGGTTCAACAAATAACAACAGAACACGCACCATGCTGGAATCATAAAGGTGAGTCCTGGTCTCAGAGACAGACCATGAGTAGTTCTAAGACACTGATTTCACCCCATTACTCAAAGACCCTTCAGCAGACTCCCCAGATGTCCTCAGAATAAAGTGTTGGCTGGGACTAGCTCTCAAGGGCCTGCGTGACTTTCTGCGGCTCGCCTGTCATCCTTACCTCCTGGGTTTCTGTGGCTGTTCCCCACGCTCGCCCAGCGGCCTGCCTCCCCTGCCTCCGGGAGGCCCAGCCTCCACGCTGAGAAGGTTTTTCTTCCCTCACTCCCGCCCCTGACTGTCCACATCCTACCCACCTGTAGGGTCCAACTCATGTTCTTTCCTCTTTGAATCTTCCCACGTCCGGTCCTTTTACATCTTTCCGGTGGAATTTCCCCACCATTTATTTTTTAAACTCTCTCACATGGGGACTTCTATGGTTGTTTTAAATTGTGTCCTTATCCCATATCCAGGTGTCCATCTTGCCCCTTAAGGCAGCTCGTATCCCCAGAGCAGCAGAGGGGGCAAGGGCAGAGGGTCTAGGTTGGAGTCTTGGTTGAGGGATCTTGGGCAGGTGCTCCGCCCCCTCTTCTACGGAGGGCTTTCTCGGTCCCTCTGCCTGCAGTATACCTCCCTTTGTCGGCCTGGTGGTCTCTGCTGTCTGCAGGGCTTAGCTCAAGGCTTCCTTCCTTAGAGGGACCTCCCCAGTCACCCCCGCTGCCGACCTGAGATCCTTCCTCTGGACTCCCAATCCGGGGTAGACCCCTCACTGAGTCTCATGACCCCAAGCTGGCCTTCCTTGTTGAGATGTCCGCCTCCCCGACCTGCCAGGACCCCCTGGGCTCAGAAAGGCCA